TGCTGCTTCACACCGCTAGGACTGAGGTGACCTGAGCAGCAGCCCGGACACAAATGCAGGGGGCTCCCCATGAGACACAGAGTGGGGGCTGCTCAGTGGGCTCAGCCGGACCCAAGAGCACCCTCGGTGCCAGTGTTCCCTGTCCGACCTGCAGATGGGAAGCCCTGGGCCACAGTAGGTGGCTGGACACAGTCTTACTGTCAAGGGTAAGAATTAAGATATGGAAATGTTTAAGGAATCAGACAGGTCATATTAAGATCTTTTTGTGTGTCACAATATAAGATTTTGGCCATGACTTTGAAGATTTAAACTACCCAAGTGGCAACTTATAAAGTCAATCTAAAGCCCTGTGCCTGAGTATTGATTTAGCTGGGCATGCCTGGACAGAGGAGCGGGGAAAATCGCAAAGAGGTGAAGGAGCCCCTGGAGCCAGGCCCGGGCCCCCCAAACGCCCGGCTGGGGGTCAGAGCAGAGCTGTGCACCAGAGCAGAGGCGAATCCAAGGCCAAGTTGGTCCTGGAGCCGTCTGCTCTGGCCTCTGGGCTCCTCGGCTGCCAGCTCGCCTAGCGGTGCCCGTGCTCCTGGCCCGAAGCCTTCCACGAGTGTCTCGTCGGCGCTCAAGGGCCAGAGGATGCCCGGAAGCCTGCGCCGAGGGCCCCTCCTACTTCCCTTCTGGTACAGGTCTCACTCTGGCCTCTAACTTGTGATCCTCCTGCCTCGGTGTTCCCAGAAGATGTTTGATTTTTTTTTTGTTGTTGTTGGCGGAACCGGGGATTGAACTCAGGCCCTTGCACTTGCCACGGAAGCGCTTATTCCACTGAGCCATCTCCCCGGTCCAGATGTTTGATTTCTAATGTCATCTGAACAACTACTTTGAAGATAACGTATATAATACAACAACCGTTGTTCATTTCCTATCATCTTGTTTTGAAATTGTTATCCTTTGTTTTCTTAAATTCTCTTTAAAATTTAAAAAAAAATCATGCTGACTCTGCACTTTAAGATAGTTAAAAAAACTTTAAGGCCACTAATTTATTTTCTATTTCTGTATTCATAATGACCATGCAGGCACTCGAAAAGATTTGTTTTGCCACGTCAGATCACTGAAGAACTCAAGACCAAAGTAAAACTCACTAAATGCATGACTACACAAAATATTTCAAGCCTTATAATAAACTATGTCATAGTGGGCAATATTGTGTGTGTGTGTGTGTGTGTGTGTGTGTGTGTATGTGTGTGTGTGTATACTGGGGAATGAACTCAGGTCCTTGCATTTGCCAGACAGGCGCTTAAGCCACCAAGCTATCTCCTCTGCTCGGAGTGGACAAATATTATCCAAAAGCATTTTTAATCTGCTAGAAATGAGATAGATCAACCAATAAGAGACTAGGACTGGCAAGCTTGTGAATGGAACAGGTGACTGCATTTTCTGCACACAGAGGCTCCTTCCCGAACCACGCCGTGGCACTTGTGTCAGTGGCCCGAAGGGCACTGGGCCCCATGCCCGGGGCCATGCAGCCCGAGTCTGGCCAAGGGCACACTTCTGGCAGCTTCCTTTTTGTCCCTCCTGGTGCGCGGGGTGCTGCTGCCGCCCACGCCTTGCGGAGTCTCCTTGATCTTTCTGGGCTTCTCGTGACGGAGGACGTGACATACTGGCCCACCTCCTAGAGCATGTGCCCTGGCCTCAGCGAAGACGCTCTTGAGACGGGGGAGTCTTGAGTGACTGCTAGTTGATAGCTTAAAACTTTAAAGTGGCTGACTTCCCTGCGAAGGACCAAGTC